ACGGTGGCGAAGGACTTCGACCCCAAGACTGGTGGCATTGTGAAGTCGCGGCTGATCTGGGACTGCCGAAGAGTCAACCTGCTCTTCGTGGATCCCCCGTGGGTGCCTTTGGGCAGTCCCGCGGGCCTCGCGCTCCTGGAGCTGGACGAGGCGGTGCTGCGTGGACGGCGGCTCTTCTCCTTCCAGGGAGACGTACCGGACTGGTTCTATCGGTTCGCGCTGGGGTTCGTTTTTGGCGGAGTATTTTGTGGTGGAGGATGTCTCGCCGCAGGAGCTGTACCAGTACGGGATGGAGCAGGGTGTGGCCTTGCCGAAGCCGCGCGAGGAGGACGTTGGTATTGGGGCTTCGAGTTTGGTCATGGGCTCGGCGTGGGCGGTGTTCTTGGCCCACAGCTGCCTGGAGGCAAGCTTCGAGTCCATGAAGGCCCCCAGCTTGACTTACGGCAAGCCCACCCCGTCGTTTGGCCTATCGGAGGAGGAGGCGATCAGGTTCCTGCTGATGTTGTACATCGACGACTACATCGGCTTCACCCTCGAGGGCGAGGACGGCGAGCAGAAGATCCTGGAGGACAAGGAGATGATCAAGGAGCTTCTGAACGGCAAGGGGCTCGCGGTGCACAAGGAGGCCTGGGGCGAAGGGATGGAGAACGGCCTGGGCCTGTGCATCGCCGCCACGAGGCCCTACACGCTGAGGATCCAGCCGAAGAAGATGGAGCAGGTCGTGCTGGCTACCGAGGCGGCGGTGTTGGAAGTGGCTCTCAGACCTTCGGCGGTGGCCTCTCTGGTCGGGCACTGGACCTGGACCATGATGGTCTTCCGCCCCTCGTTTGCGATCCTGGACGCGACCTACAGGTGGCTGAGGGAGTTCAACGAGGAGGAGAGTGTTGTGCCGCACCGCTTGCCCGAGGAGGTCAGGAGCGAGTTGAGGGCCGTCGCGTCCCTCTCGGTCTACATGGAGTCGAACCTGGAGATGGGCTGGTGGCCGAGAGCATACATGACGGATGCGTCCAACGAAGGCTTCGGCGCCCTGGCCTGCGACTGCACGGAGGAGGACGTCCGACGAGAAGCTGCCCGTGGAGATGGAGGAGCTTGGGGACCCCTGACCGAGCAGAGCTACACCGAGATCGAGCGGGCGCAGGAGGCGATCGGCGAGGAGGAGGACCTCCCGGCCGCTCCCGCTACGGGACGACCTGGGGTGTTGGAGCTCTTCGCTGGGAGCTCTCGCTTGCTGGAGGCGATCAGGGAGATGGCCGACTCGTGGGGCGAGGCCTGGGACATCCAGCGGGGCGGGGAGTTCGACGTACTGGTCACAGAGAACTTGGAGCTGTTGTTACGGAGAGTGAGGACTGGCTGGTTCTGGCGGGTGCATGTTGCCCCCCCGTGCGCGACGTTTTCGAGAGCAAGGCAGCCGCCGCTGAGGTCGAGCGACCACCCGTGGGGGCTGCCGGACTGCACGAAGACGGACCAGGCCAAGATAGACGAAGGGAACGCTTTGGCTTTGATAGCAGTAGAGGTGGTCAAGATCTGCCTACGCCTTGGCATTGGATTCACCCTCGAGAACCCCAGGACCAGCATGATATGGGCGTTCGCGCCAATGACCGCGCTCTTGGATCTCGAGGGGGTGTTCCGTGTGGAGGTGGATTACTGCATGTATGGCGAAGAATGGAGGAAGCCAACTACGTTCATCACCAACGTGAAGAAGATGGCGACGCTACAGCGGGTGTGCTTGTGCCCCTCGAACCGATGCAGTCGGACGGGCCGAGCTCACCGAGAACTACGAGGACGATCACCAGGTGGGCTACGGTGGACTCAGGTGGCATGTGCTTACCCGCTGGAGTTGTGCAGGGCATACGCGTCCACTCTGCAGGAGCTCGAGCCGCACTGGGACTCGATACCAGCGGGGGCCCGGCTTCGCCTGCAGGGCGACCGCGGGTGCGTCGTGAGAGCGACTGGGCCAGCCCTGCCTCTGCTTGGCCATTGGCTGGAGAAGAAGTGGCACGTGCTGTTTCAGGGACGTTGGTCCCACGCAGAGCACAACAATGTCTTGGAGCTGCGTACGGTGGTGGCGGTGCTCCGACACCTCAGTCGCACGTCCCAGAGCTGGAATCACCGCGTGCTGTTCTTCACCGACTCGTTGGTGAGCCTAGGCGTTCTCAAGAAGGGACGCTCGTCTGCCAAGGACCTCTTGCACCTGGCGAGGATCGGCGGCATCATCCAGATGGTTTGCAGGATCCGAGGGTACTTCAGGTGGGTGCCGAGCGAGCTCAACCTGGCAGACGGCCCCTCGAGAGGTCAAGGCATAGGCGCGGCGGAGGACACCGTGGCGGGCCACGTGGGCCGTGGGGTGCCGAAGGAGCTACTTCAGCGGCTGCAAGATCGGGCCCGACGAGGACCGCCTGGAGTTTCGCATTTGTGATGGCCATGAGCGGGCTGACGCTGTGCGAAGCGATGCCGCGGCGTGGGGTGGACGGCCCCGCTACGACCTCTGCAAAGCCTCCCCCTCTGGCTAAGAGGGGCGCTCGGGCCTGGGAGCAGGCCCCGAGTGACAAGCTGCACCACAACGTGAGGCTCGTGGTGCACGCAGTGGACGACACCACGAATCAGATCTACGAGAAGGAAGTGAGGACCTTTCTCCTGGACGTGAAGCGGCACGGGCTCCCCTTCTCCACCTACGAGGAAAGGGATGCGGCGCTGGGCGGGTACATATCGGACATGTGCTACGTGATGCAGTTGCCCTTCGGCAGGGCGTCAGCGCTGTTCAATGGTTTCATGCACATCTTCGAGGACCACCGCAATCGGCTCCCCGTCGCGGCCAGGGCGCTGAAGTCCTGGTCTAGGATGGGCTTCCAGAAGGAGGGGGCGCCGGTGCCGTTCGAAGCTGTGGGGTGCGTGCTCTACGACCTCTTTGAGCACGGCCAGCTGTACGAGGGGGCCGCGGTGCTGCTGCAGCTGGACGGCTGGCTGAGGGAGCAGGACTGGGGCCTCCTCAGGAAGACGGACGTGGCGGTGGGCCCCGACGGGGAAGTCGGGCCCACCTTGGGCCGCAGAGAGCGAGGCGAGAAGGTGAAGACGGGAGCGAACCAGGGCGTCGTGGTCTCGTGGCAGGTGACGAAGGCCATCCTACGGGCGATCGGCAAAGGCGCTGCATCACGGGACCTCCTCTTCCCGATCTCGCAGGACAAGTACAGAAAGGCGTGGAGGCAGGCCTTCGACAGGGCGGGCCTGGCGGACTTCGGCCCCCCGCACTCGCTGAGGCACGCGGGGGCAGCGGCCTACATCGCCGCAGGCGGCTCGCTGGAGGCGGCGCGCCGGAAGGGCCGCTGGCAGACCACGTCGGCCCTTCAGCGTTACACGAAAGTGCACGTGCTGATCGAGCAGCGGAGCCGGCTCACCCCCGCGCAGCTTGAGCGGGGGAGGGCCTTCTGGCGCAGGCCGTCCCAGCAGATCTCAGAGGCCATCTACCGCTCCGACGCTGTGCTGGCCCCGCTGGCGCGGGACATGGTGCACGAGCTCGGGGCAGCCACGAACGACGAGGTCGTGCTGCCGCAGCTGGAGAGTATGGCGGACGGGGGCGCGGAGCCCACCAGCCGCCCGTCCACTGCTGGCCGTAGCAGGGCCAGACGGCAATGAGCAGGCCGCTGCAGGCCCCACTCTCATTTCAGGCCCCGCCTTTTGCGGGGGCCATATCTTTTGATATGAATGCAGGAGCCTCGAGATCTGGGCGCGTGCACCCTGTCCTCCACTTGTCTTCCTTGAACATTTGATAGATATGGGGAAAATATAAAGCAGGTTTTTTGGTGGGTGAGAGCGACACAAATTATCTCCCTTTCCCCCCCTCCCGAATGTGTGCCGCGCTCGTGTCTAGCTGTGGCTGGAAGCGTGAAGGCACAAGTGCCAGTCTAGTGATGACGGGACTGGGGGTTTCGCCGCGAGGCTTTTTGGCCCGACCGTGGGCCGAGGCACGGTCAGGTACCTCTCGGCCTTTTATGTTTCGGGCCTCACACGGGGCCCCGCCGCTGCGAACAGATACTTTCGGAGGGTGCCCCCTCCTCTCGAGCCGCTCGCTGTCCTGTGGGGTTGTCTCTCCCGCTGCTGCGTCGGATATTCTGTGGGGCCTCTTTTGATTAGGGTTGTCGCTCTACCCCCGCCTGCCCCCAGCACTCTAAAATCAAGATTTAATGGTATAGGCACGCTCCGAGTTAACATATATTCAAGCCTGGCTCTCGAGTGTGGGTGCTGTGTAAATACGCGTTTTTAAACACACTTTTACACACTCCCTGTAAACGTTCAGATAGCCGCCTCAACTGCAAATTAAGAGGAGGAGTAGCGCATTCTCTCTCGTGCTTGTCCCTCCTCTCCTGGCGCAAAGTTTCGGCTCCCAACCCTGCCCACCCTTGGGCTTGTCTGAGCTCGGGGGTTTCGCCGCGAGGCTTTTTGGCCCGACCGTGGGCCGAGGCACGGTCAGGTACCTCTCGGCCTTTTATGTTTCGGGCCTCACACGGGGCCCCGCCGCTGCGAACAGATACTTTCGGAGGGTGCCCCCTCCTCTCGAGCCGCTCGCTGTCCTGTGGGGTTGTCTCTCCCGCTGCTGCGTCGGATATTCTGTGGGGCCTCTTTTGATTAGGGTTGTCACTCTACCCCCGCCTGCCCCCAGCACTCTAAAATCAAGATTTAATGGTATAGGCACGCTCCGAGTTAACATATATTCAAGCCTGGCTCTCGAGTGTGGGTGCTGTGTAAAGGGGAGTTACGAAATTTGCTGCATGCAGCTGGTTTCGGCCTCACCGAGGGGCCCATTCCTCGATACATAGCCGCCTCCGGCGCCGGGAGGCGCCGGGAAAATCAGCTACGTGAGCTGATTCTCAAACACCCCCTTTGCTATCCCCCCCTTTCGCCCGACCCGAAAAGCGTGCGCAGCTTCGTGCAGCCTCTTGAGCCCTCCACCGCGGCACGCTGGCACAGGCGGCCCCCTGCCCAGGTCCGCTCCCCTCGGCCCCGGCCTGCGCAGCGCCCGCGTCGTGACGCCGACGGCCAGCAGCCCTGCCTGCAGGGCGCAGTCTGCTCCAGAGAGCTGTAAAGATCGGGAGCGGCCAAGAAGGGGGTGTCCAAGAGGGGGGGGTGCAAATCATGACCAGCGGCATGTGCGGGGCCCAGCGGGGGGGCCTGGGACGTAATGAAATAAGAAGAAGCGCCATGAAATCTCAGGAAAAATCATGGCCCGCGCCATGAAATCCCCCCTCCCTAGTCATCACCCCCCTCTTTTCCGCTCCCGAAGAGAATAGGCACCGACGCTTTTTCTGCCCCCGCACTGAGACTCGCGCAGGAAAATGGACCCTGGTGTATACGGGAACGTGGTGTATACGTATTTCGTTGTCTCCCCTGGAAAGGGGGGAAACATATACAACACACCACCCCGACGTCGTCCCCGACCCTCAGAGTCCCGGAATTAAAACATCGCCCGCCACTGGCAATGTATATGCTCCAGTTTCCAAAGCTGGGCCCGGAACTTGCGTTCGCATTCACGGGAGAGTAACTGAAACAAGGTGCTGGCGGATTCGCGGCGTCAAAACTCAACCGACGCCTTGCAAACATTGCTCCGAGGAAGGAATTGAACCCTCCTGCTCTACTCAGGCCGAGACTTTCGATATGCCTATGGGATAATCGAAAGAATAACCGGAGAACCCACCGAGTCCATGCAGAAGCAAAACCCCGATTGAGACCCGCCCGCTGCTGGCAACGCACATGTGTTCACGTCTGGATATGATACGCGCTCGGCTCCAGTTGCGTTTGTTTCACAAGTTGTTAAACCAAGTCTCTAGAGGCGAGAGAGCAGCCCAATGGTTAACACATCGAGAGATAACCATATCGGCGCCGACCTGGGTCAGATGAAACTGAAATCTGGCTGCAAGTCGGCACATCAAAAATACTGGCTCGACCCGGCGGCTGTCGCGGAAATCGATTCGAGCCGAATCGGTGGCTTCGAAGCGCGCGCTGAAGGTGTCCCTATTGAGGCGAGCAACTCGGGAGGATCGACAGGTCGATCGCCAACCCACGAAAGCGCGAGCTGGCCCCTCGCCGCGGGCTCCCGGCAGTTTGCGCTCCACCTCCCTCGTCCTGGTCTTCGGGAGGCGTCAGAGGATCGATTTGGACGCCCGGAATGGGTACTGAAAGAATGGGTACAATGCCCAACAGCAAATGTTGTCCCAAACCAACAGCGGCCGCTGTTGGGCAGGCGGCCTCCTGTCTCGAATGGACACAGGCCGCGGCGGCGTGGACGGCGAGCCCTGTTCAAAATGAACAGGAACTGCTGTTGGGCATTGTACCCATTCTTTCGGTACCCATTTCGGGCGTCCAGAACGAAAGCGCGAGCTGGCCCCTCGCCGCGGGCTCCCGGCAGTTTGTGCTCCACCTCCCTCGTCCTGGTCTTCCCTGGGATTAGGAAGCACCGAATCGAGAGCCCCCCTCTGGGAAGGAGGAGGAGGAGGAGGAGGAGGAGGAAGAGGAGGAGGAGGAGGAGGAGGAGGCGTCAGAGGATCGAGAGCCCCCCTCCGGGATCCGGCAGCACCGGATCGGGAAGTGGGATCGGATCGGGACGTGCGTCGGAACTGGCCGCATCCAGCACGGAGCCGAGACCGCATCGAACAAACGGCGCCGGGATGCACGGCAGTGCCATGCAGGCACCGGGACGCATCGAATCGCCACAACATCGAAGTCGCATCGGATCGAGCAATGCCAGCTCGACGTCGAGTTGGATCGATCGGGTCGACACGGGCCTCCTATGCGGAACTGCCCCCTGTCGGTTCGACGCCTCGACTGCGCGTCAACCTCCTCGCTTCTCCATTCCTCTCCCCGGCTCCTCCTCTGCCCTGCTCCCGCTTCCGCCTGGCCCGCCAAGGGAGGATGTGGAGGAGGGAGGGTGAGCATGGGAGGAGGAGGACAACAATGAGACCAACGCTGCTGGCAGGCACCCAGGACCAGCGAAGACCGCGTGGCTGAGGCCGTGGCCTGTGATTCTGCGGATTACTGTCGCACGAGACGATGGGGGAGGGAGGAGGAGGCTGCCCCATACCCGCTCCCCCCTCCCCTCTCAAGTCGTTGAAGCATGTATGCTTCCACCTCACCGCTTTCTCCGTGCATCAACTTAAGCTGAAACCGTATTAACATACAAGATACAGCCCGCGTGAGTTTCACTGGTTCGTCGACCTCAGGCCTTCTGATTCATTTAACGACGGCCGTTAAATAACTCTATGAGAAAAGTGAAGCTGATACCAACAACTATCATCATGATGGAAATGCCAACCTCGTTGACACTGGCAGCTGCGCGCGCTCAAATCCGGCGACCCCTTGAGGTTCATCGGCGTGTGAGATGCTTTCCCCTCCCGAACCCCCTCCTCCAGAAGCCTAGTCCGTTCGATTTGGAGGGGGGCGCGGGTGTCCCCCGGGTTCCGACCGCACTCATCACGGGGGCACAGAGGGCCCCAAAACGGAACCCGAGGGCCCCAAGAGGCCGCCCCAGACGGTCCAACAGGGCAAGAATTCGTCGAAAGAACGCTCCACAAGAGACGTCCCAAGACGGCCTCCAGAAGCAAAAAATCACCCCATCCCCTTCGGGCATCGTGCATGTTTAGCACATTTGCCTCTTCCAAGACGGCCCAAGAGGCCTTCAAGATCGCCCCAAGACGGGCCAAGAGGCCCCCAAGAGGGCTCCAAGACAACCCAAGAGGTCCCAAAGATGGCTCAAGAAGCCCTCAAGACGAACGGACATGTCGACCCCAAGACGCCCCCCGGTTGCCCCAGAAGCCCCCAACAAGCCCGCAGGGAGCCACAAGAGGGGTGACAAAAGCTTCCAAGAGACCCCCAGGACTTTAGGAGGCTCCCAAGAGGTTCAAGAACTGCCATCAACCATCCGAGTGTCCTCAGACCCGCAACCCAGGCACGGTGGCGGGGCGGGCCGAAGGCTATTCGGTAATCACCCTCCTGGTGTTTTGACAGATGTCCGCCGTCTGTGTACGTGGGTGTTCGTCCGTTTCCCCATGCGTGCACGGCGAACTTCCCCATGCGTGCACGGCGAACACTGAAAATGTCAGCCGCAGAAATCACTACTGGCGGTGCGGGCGGTGCCGCCATTGCCGGGGGCCATGGGGAACCATTCGCAAGCACGCGAGAGCCCCAGAACGCCTCAAAACTCGCTCCACGACGCTCACGACGGCTTCCAAAAGGCCAACACACAACAACCGCCAATCCCTCCATGGATCGGCATTGTGGCGTAAGCGTAAGAATCTAGCGAGCACTGAGTCGATCACGGGTTCGTGTTCGGCACATGTGTCAACAACATGCAACATGTTAAATGCCATTATGGCTCATACGGCAAGTTCCCTGCGTGACAGCGTGGACCCTAGCTTCTGATACCGCGTTGCACATTGAACCTTTAACGACCTCCACTCTCGTAGGTCCATCAATGTGCTGGCGACCCCAAGTCATTTCGCACCGTAGGTTGGAATTAGCCCCCTGAGGACGTTCAACCTTCAACGCCCGCGCAAGCGTCGCCGCCGCGTCGAGGCGGCGCGAACCTGCCGTAGAGCCCATATACCACATGCGCGGTGGTCCCCATGCGCTGCCAGTCCGCAAGTGATGCCAGCGCCCAGCCACAGGTTGCACAACGTCAGGGCACCACGGTACTGCATCCTTCGCCAGCGCCGAAAGGTGTAATTACCATGACAGGGCGGCAGATGGAGTAGGAGGACAAGGACTTACGAGCTTGATGGGTTTTCCAAACATCTCATCCTCATCGGCGGGAAGTGGCATTCGAAGTACACCCCAACCTGAAAAAGAAGCATCTACATACCAAGAGGGGGCGGCGACCTGGACTCACTGATATGAGAAACGCATTCCCCAGGGCAGAGGTGGAGATTTCGCGGCGAGTCCGAGTCTGTGTCGTTTCTTGTAATCCTGTGTTATTGGGTCCTCATTCTGAGTCCGCAGCGCCGCGCCCAACCTCGTTCTCCCGCATCCCGCACCTCTCCTCTGCTCTCTGTCCGCATCTTCGCTTCGGTACACCCCTTGCACGCTTCGTGCCCCAACAGGCACAATCTTCGGTCCCAGATGGGGGGACCGCATGGCATTCCACGCTCATCCTGGCACACGGCTCACATGTTTCGTGCTTCCCTTCGAGCTCCTGGCCTCAATGAACGCGGGCACCAGACATAGGCCACCCAACGCCAACTTTCGCACACCGCTGTCATGTTTCGTGCCCCCATCAGGGGGCTCTACGTACAGCCAGTGGGGGTGAACCGCATGCCACACCACGCCAATTCCGGCACACCCGTCATAAGCTTCGTGCGCTCATAGTGGGCTCCACCTGCTGGCCCAGCGAAGGTGGACTGCATGCCGCTCCACGCAAATTTTGACACACCACTCGCGTGCTTCGTACCCCCATCAGGAGCTCCACGTTCGCCGAATGCCGCTCGCGTCCATTTCGGAACACCCCTCGCACGCTGCGCGCGGCCCCACGTCCATTTTGGCGCGGACGCATGCCGCCGCGGCGCGGCACGCCAGAAGGAGCTGCACCTGCGACCCCAGCGGCCGCGTGCGCACACAGACCCACGTCAATCGTGGCACACCCCGCGTGCAGTGCCTGATGCGTGGCGAGCTTCCCCGGACGGCAACCACGCCATGCCCCGCCACTTCCTCCTGCCAACGCACTTTGGACGTGCATGGCGCGCTTGCGTGCCTCACATGTTCCGTGGACCCGTGGGAGCCTCCCCTGCGCTCCTGTGGGCGCGGGCCGTCCACTCCTGCGCAATCCCTAGAGCGGATCGGGCCCCTCAGGGTCAGCAGCGCACCTGTGCGCGCCTCGCCCTGCGCAACGCGCAACTGCATTGGAATGAGCCCTTCGGCAGGCTGTTCTTGAAAACCATGTAAGCCAGCGTAGACCACAACCAACGACATATGGCGATCTATGCGGTGCAATATAGCTGGTGCAATCAACGTGATGCAACTCAGGTAGTGCAATCCAATCCGTGTGGTGCAACCTGGGTGGCGCAAAGTAACGCAAAGCAACGCACTGCAACGCAAGCAACGCAAAGCACTACAGAGCAACCCAAACCAATACAAAGCAATGCAACGCGAGGCGAAGAGAAGCAATGCAATGCAGAGCAATGCAGAGCAGTCCGAAGCAATGAACAGCAGTGAGAAGCAGCCCGGTCCAATGCCAAACAATGCAACGCAAAACAATTTAAATCAATGCACAATAACGCAAAGCAATGAAATGTGACGCAGGCCCATACTGCGACGGGGCGGCGACGGCAACCACAGAGCTCAGACCGACGGGCAGGCCCAGAACGAGGGGGCGGCGACGGCGACGACACAACGGCCAGACCGACGGGCAGGCCTAGAAGACAGGCGGCGACGAGGCAGCGACGGGGCGACGACGACGACCACACAGCCGCCATACTGACGGGCAGGCCGAACTCCTTAGAAAAGACAAAACACCGAAAGTGGCAACTTTCTTCAGATAAAAGCTGATATGCACGCCTCCCCCAACATCCATGCGACCAATTCTGGAAATTCTGAGATCGCCAACGTCAACATCTCTTGAGGCGTCACATGCTATACTTTTGCCACCTACCGTTGATACAATTTTCCTCGTCGTGCATGTGCCAAAGCTCGTGGACCAGCCGCCAGCCTCAACCAAAGGTCAACTCCTCGATTCGTGCAATTATCCTTGATGACTCCAACGTAGGAACGCGTGGGAAAATCTTAATCTTCGGAGATCGCTTCAAATGAAGCTCTGGTGCTGCGACCTGGCATCCCCGAACAGAACGAAACGCATGCATGCAGACCACTCTGGAGTCGATAATGCGCAGCGGGCCCCAGAGAGCAAGAGCAACAAAAACATGAATCCCAACCTTTGAACAAAAACAAGGGGTAGCCCTGGATCCATCTACAAGCGAGCAGCGAGCATGCAGACAATGTGAGCAGAATCGGGCCCCCTGCCCCCAACGCGCGCCAGCAAGGCGATCAAGAGAGAACAACACGGAACTTTGAGCAGGGACCGACCGTCCCGGCAATCCGAATAACAAAGCAATATTCGTATAACATAAACCAGATACGCTAAACCAAAGCAGTCCCACCCAGAACTGTTGTAAGAACATGTCGCGCAGACCACAAGAGGTTATTATATTTTTTTTGGGTGGGCCTATAGGCAAACCAGGACGCTTCGCCGCTGCTTGAGAAATGGGACGCAAAGATCGCTAAATCCGCGACAACGTCGCGAGAGCTAGACGAATGGCACAATAACTGCGGGAACAAAAAACCGCCGACCCAGTCAGCGTGTGTGAGACGCTGTCGTCGTCTTCGTCGTCATCGTCGCCAGTCCCACGGAAACCTGGGAACGCACAAAGACTAGAAACGTCGCAAAGACACGTCGTAGTTAAGTCGATTCGCCGCCCGTTCTCCCTCCCTGGCGGATGGAAGGGGTAGGGGGGGAGTCGGAGGGGAGGGGCGGGGGGGGGGGGGGCCCAGGTCAGGGGGGGGGAGTCGGAGGGACGGGGTAGGGGGGGTAGGTCAAGCTAGCCAGCTCGAGCGAGTCAAGCATGGCATGCCCATTCCCACCCGCCCTCCCACAACATAAGAAACAGTGATGGCACACCTGGTGGCTGCGCGGGCATTTCAGTGTCGCAGGTCCCAGAGCGCTGACTTCCAGGTCCCAGAACGCCCCAGGAACGCCCCAAGAGAGCCGAGACGCCCCCGAGACGATCCGAGGGGCCTTGAGTCGCCGAAAGATCGCTCCAAGACGCCCAAAGATGGCCTCCAGACGGCCGCAGACGCCGCCAAGAAACCGCGGGGAGCCTCAGGAGGCCCTCCAAGAGCCTGGACAAACAAAAACCTCCCAGGCATTCGTCACCCCAGGGCCTCCTGGAACGCCCCGGCGCCCAATGAATTGGCGAGCTAAAAACGTGCGCCGAGCCAAAGCGGGAGCGCAACTTTGAGAAAATTTCGCTCGGCGACCAAGCGGGAAGGTCATTTCATTCACTTCGAGCGGTGTGTGTGTGTGTGTGTGCCGCGCCCAATTCTTGCCATGCACTTTTGCGGGGTGGGCGACAAGAACAGCTATGTGGGCAGGGAAAATCAGCATGGCATTGTTTCTGACAAATAAGGTGGCCACTCCCGCCTTGGGGTTGCCCCAGAAGTCCGCGCGCGATGTGCGCCGCGCCCCATTCCTGCCACGCATTTCGCATCGTCGACGACAAGACAGGCCATGATGAACGGAAAAACGGCAACTCTGTATTGTTTTTTAAAGTTAGAATGGGAGGGCCCGCAGCCCGCATGGACGTCCGCGCGCGATGTGCGCCGCGCCCCATTCCTGCCACATATTTCGCACCGTCGGCGACAAGGCAGGCCATGCTGAGAGGAAAAAACGGAAACTTTGTTTTCATATTTTACAGTCAGGATGGGCGGGCCCGGATTGACAGCCGCGCGCGATGTGCGCCGCGTCCCATATGTGCGCCGCGTCCCATTGCTGCCACATATTTCGCACCGTCGGCGACAAGGCAGGGCATGCTGAGAGGAAAAAACGAAGACTTCGTATTGATTTTTTACAGTCAGGATGGGCGGGCCCAGATTGACTGCCGCGCGCGATGTGCGCCGCGTCCCATCCCTGCCACGCTTTTCGCATCGTCGACGACAAGAAAGACGATGTTGAGAAGAACAACTGCCACTTTGTATTGATATTTTACAGTCCGGATGGGAGGTCCCGGATTGGGCCCCTATCGGCCAGAATACGAGGTAGGTGGGGGTATATGCTAATAAGGAACAAGGATCGGGGAGTCGGAGGGGAGGGGTAAGGGGGGGGGGGAGTCGGAGGGAAGGGGTAGGGGGGGTAGGGCGGGGGGGGCCCAGGTCAGATCACCGCCCCCCCCGCCCTGGGGCCGGCGGCCCTCCCTCCCCTCCCCCGGGCGGCCCCCCCTGTGGAGAAGGGGGACAGGGGATTCCTTTCTTCATGAATAACTCTATGCCGCACCTCGAGGCTGGTCCTCACCACTCGTGACCCTGAAACTGAAACATTGGCAACAGTTTCACAGATGGAGGGCGGGTGGCTTTCTTAATGTGGCTCTCGCCTTAGCGCCGCGCGCATTCGAATGACAAATCAGCAAACATGTTACGGATTGAGGGGGGGTGTCGCTGGTGAGCGTTTTCGGTGTTTCGACATTGGGCGGAAAAGGGGGGGGGGGGGGGGTCTGGCTCCGGACCTCTGCTCAGTGCGACGGTTTGCAGCAGTGCGGCCGATGGGGGAGGGACCCCACCTGCTCGAAACAGGCGCCAAAAACAGCCAATATCTACTGCTTGGGGGGGGAGGGGGGGGGGTGCGAGGGCCGGCGCCGATCGGCAAAACAAGGAATAAAAAAACGCCCACATGTGTGTCTCCGTGTGTTCTGGCACGTTTCGGTGTCTTCACACGGCTGTCTCCCAACGAGGCAGTTCCCTCAGTGGATATGAACCATTCTAGGGGCCTACGAAGAGGGAGCTTGGAGGGAGGGTGTATTCCAATATCGTTGACGAGTTGGGTTTACACTGATCCTCCTCCTCATGCTCCTCCTCCTCTTCCTCTGCCTCCTCCTCCTATTTCTCCTCCTCCTCCTCCTCCTCCTCCTCCTCCTCCTCCTCCTCCTCCTCCCTCCTCCTCCCCCTCCCCCTCCCCCTCCCCCTCCTCCTCCTCCTCGTCCGCCTGCTCCTCCTCCTCCTCCTCCGCCTCCTCCTCCTCCTCCCTCCACCGCCCGCCCCAAGTCCCGACCTTGAGCTTGTGGAAGGGTCATCCGCGCGTCGTTGTCGTTGTCGTCGTGGTCGTTGTCGTCGTGCTTCTGGGTCGGCGGCACCGTCCGTAAAGCCTTCACAATACAGCGATACCGCGACTGCCCGGACCTCTCCCAGGGTGCGTGCTGGCCATGATTTCGGAGCGAATCTGGCCGTGGGGAAGTGGGACGGAGCGAGGTTTCGGTATTTGATCTTCCTCTGATAAACAAACGTGGCGTCACCGCAGTGGATACAACACCGCGTGGCGCATCGGTTCGAAACGGCAGAAAAACACATTCTCTTCAAACGCAATTCGAATACATATCGTGTCAGGCAGTCGGGCGCGCAGGATGGGCCAGTCGCGGGTGGGGTCACACAGACAGGTAGGTCCAGGTGAGGAAGAAAAAGAAGAAGCTGAGCTTCAAGACCTCGCCGCGTGCTCAGCCAAACGGCGTAAACAGAATATCGAATAGCCACGGCGGGGATCAATGAGGACGCGCCGTGGGGCATACCCTTTCATAGGTTTACGGGGATGCCCGTATATATGATGGGGAGCGTATTTTGCACGGAAGGCAACCTCCCTCTGCTGACGCAATCGTCTCCTGCCTTTAGCAATTCCAGCAGAACCAACAGCATGTAACAGGGCAGGGTAAATTGAGCGAGAGACAGCCAGAGGACTCGCGAATCTGATGAATACCATGCTTAGTCAACAAAGCAAACGCATGTTTTCTGCTTTGGGCTACCTGGCGCTGGCAACGGGATAATACATGGATTACGACGGAGGACGAAACGGTATTGCCCGCTGGCGTACGCAAGCCCCCAGCGCGGAACTCCGCGTCGAGACGAGGACGCATGCGCTCGATCTTACACCGCAGCTCGCGTGCGAAGGTCAGCGCAGTCGACTTCCTTAGTCCTGATGTCGTCATTATTCCTCCCTCACTCTCTCTCCCTCTTTCTCTCCCTCTGTCTTTCTCTTTCTCTCTCGCGTTCTCTCTCTCTCTCTCTCGCTGTGTGATGGAGCCCGTGGAACAGCAAGAGCAGCGGGGCTTCGTGCCAGGGAGGCCTGGTCCTGGCGCTGCACGCTGTAGAGGGCTCCCTCCTGCGGGGCCCGCGCGCAGACCTGCCCCCGGAGCTCTGCGTTTCTGCATTGCGCCTTGGACACTTCGTCTGCTCCTGCGTCCCTGCGTTTGCTGTGAGCTCGCGACGGTCACCACTCAAGTCGACCGTGGCCGAGCAACCACGCCACCTCTCTCGGAAATGCATGCGGCCAAGCTCCCATCGGGAACAGCCCCCCAGACTGGAACAGCCAATAGCTTCTCCCAATCGGATTCTCAAGCTGGACGCAACCGCATGCTCGCGACTGCCTTGCATGACGCCACCACTCGGCCCGTTTTCGTCCAGCTTCGCTGCAAGGTGGTGCACCCGTCACTGGATCCAGCCAAAGAAGACGCGCACAACGGCTATCGCATGTAACCTCTGCTACAATCACAACTGCTACTACTGCTGCTGATTATGAATCGTCGTTGGAGCAGCCGTGCTGCTACCTCTTCGCGGCCGCACGGGACAAAGGTCAGGGCGAGGAGGGCTACCGTAGCCACCTTCCAGGATAGCAGGGGCCTTCTTAGAGCGAGTCTTAGATCACTGAGGCTTCTGGAACGGCCAGTGAGAAGGCAGGAGGGCTTCTTCTAACAAACGGGGTGTCTTTTTAGAAGGTCGCCTCCCGCGCCCTCACCCAAACCCAAATTCGCTCAAAGCGGTCAGCCGACCAGTCCACTGCTCCACGGTGGAACGATTTCCGAGCCGCGCTCAGGCGTGATGGCGAGAACCTTCAGAAACGCAAACAAGAAAATATAGAAACGAAAACGTCGACCACGTCGTCGTCGTTGTCCGGTCGCCGTCGTGCGTCACCAAGCTGGGCAACGTTAGGGGGACCGGATCAGGGAGGGAACCGTCGGACTGAAATCGGCAACGCGTCGCCGATAGATCGGCGATAGGCCCCCGATAGCGCGTCCGCACATTCCTGGGAGGGGCGGGCTATCAGGCTTCCATCGGCGATCAATAAGCGATCGGGGGTCGATGCATCCCTCCCTGAGCCCATCCCCTCCTGATGCTGGGCCTGTTATCTACCACCACCACCACCATAAGTTGGAGGGGGGAGGGGGTCCTCCTCCTCCTCTTCTTCCTCCTCCTCATCCTCCACCTCCTTTCCCCCTTCAACTTATGGTGGTGGTGGTGGAAAACGGGCCCATCACCTGAGGCCGCCCCCGAGAGGCTTCCCAAGCTCGCTGGCGCTCCAGCGTCAGGAGCACGGGGTATAGCGTCAGGAACGGGATCAACGAGGGGCTGCCTTCGCCCGCGGCCGCGCGGCCCCAGCGGGAAAAACTCAGCACGACGCCAGCCGAAACTCACTTGTGCGCTGCTTCGGCTCAGCACTGTTTTCAAAAGGCGGCGGGCGGGGGTGCAAGCGGCCTTGCAGTGTCACTTTTCAGGGGTGGACTCAAACAGTGTTTTGGCGATTTCGTGGGCCGTTTCGTTTCGATGTCGTTTTTTGCGGCGAAGGCGAATTCAAGACAAAACGAGGGAAAGCGAAAACTAAACGAAAACGAAAAACAGTGTGTAGGTTCAGCCCTGTCATCACTTGTCGCCTCAGTTGAAGTACAGCGTGCTCAAGCCAAGACAAGCGACGGGGTGATCTCACCAATGCCCGTCGCTGTCGTGATGCTGGGCTCCGTGGGGCGGCTTGCCGGCACCGCGAGGCCAACAGAAGTCAGCCCCCGGGGTGGAAGCGCGGTCCAGGGGAAAAGAAGGTCGGAAGATCCAGAGGCCACATGAGACGAAACCGCAAGTCTGGAGGCTGGAGGGCTGGAAGTGGCGACGACGACGACGACGGCGACGGCGACGACGACGACGAGGGCGAGGGCGAGGGCAAGGGCGATAACGACGACGAGGGCAAAGACGACAAGGGCGACGCCCTCCGATGAACGAGATTCTCCTCGATGCGTGGGCTCCGATGAGCTCACCTTCGCCCCGACGCGTGACGCCCCAGGCGCCCTTGGGCCCCCCCTCCCCCCCACCTGGGACGCATACTCCGATGAGCACACCTTCTCCCCAACGCGTGGAACCCCAGGCGCTCTCGGAGCACCCTCCAACTCGGGTCGAACAACAAGGTGGTTAGCAAAGAGGGCGTTAGCGAATCAGCCCACTGAGATGGTTCTCCCAGAGCGTCTGCCGGCGCCAGAGGCGCCAGTGTACCGATAAAAACGCCCAGGGGCGGGGCTGACACCAGCTGAGTGTAACATTTATCGTGCCCCCCCCTCTCTCTGGTCGGATACGTCTGCTTAGCGTGTCGCAGCGGTGGCCCCTGCGAGACCCTAGGCTGTGCAAGCGGATAGCGTGCCGCTCCTCTCCGCGAGGCGGGAAGCTGTGAAAACCAGTTCGGGACTCTGACACCTGGGGACCGGGACGTGGTTGGTGTGTCGCGCCGCAGCCTGGTGAGCCAGAACTGGCGGCGAGACACGCTGTGAGTGCTCCCGACCGCGACCCCCAAAGTTGGAGGCGGCCACGGGATCTGAACTCAGCCACGAGAGAATCAGCCAAGACGGGAGAAGGAGGGCAAATCCGCTCAAGATCAGTCCCCAGATCCCTCCTGGGGTATTGTTCGCCCCGCGCGGTCCGTCGCCGCACGTTGTTGGCACCCCGGAGGCCCCGGTCGCCCAAGACATCCTCGGCGAACAAACCCGAGTCCCAAAGCCGTGCGGCAGCCCCGAATCCCCACTGACTCACTACGCGGTGGGCTCACCACGCAAGTTGAAGGCCCACTATTCTCGTGGGCCACGGTGCCCCGGGGAGAGGGAGCCTCCGTGGCGCCCAGGCGACTCACGGGGGCCACGCCGCGCGTGGTGCTCTCCATCGGCGCGACAAGGGGGGTGTCGGAAGGAAGAGGGGCTACAGGATACAAGGCACAGAGTTGTGGATGCCACGGCAGTGGACACCCTAACAGACCTATCCTTGAATTTGAGATGTGTTTAAGATGGCGGAAACATGTTCCAAACATGTTTAAACCATGTTTAACATATGTTATAGACATCTGGGAATTATTTGGCAACATGCTTCCTCTCCATGGATCGTCCTCCACAAGCACACAGGCGCCAGCTAATCTCCCGCCAGCGCTCCGATTGGGCGAGAAAGCAGCGATTTCCCAGAGGGCGCACCTCGCAGGCTCGGGGCGGGGCGTGGAAGAAGAGGGGGGGCGGACCTTCCCGCGGGGCCCCTTGATCCCCGAGCCATTCCCCCCTCCCTTCTCCTCCTCCTCCTGCTCCTCCTGCTGCTCCTCCTTGTCCTTTTGCCTCCTCCTCCTCCTCCTCCTGCTCCTCCTCCTCCTCTCCTTCCTCGCGATGCGCTGACCATTCGCTGATTCACCGCCGCCGCCTTCTCAGGAGGTCCTCCTCACCCTCCTCATGCCCTCCTCCTCCTCCTCCTCCTCCTCCTCCTCCTCCTCCTCCTCCTCCTCCTCCTCCTCCTCATGAAGAGAACGCTGGACCGAGAACGAAGGGGCAGTTCCGGCCACGGGGAGCCTCGGCCACGAAGAGGTTCCCCGACCTGTCGGTCCACGGAGGGGCTCGAAAACCAGAGCCCCTCCTGTGCCAGCAATGCTCCCCGTTTCAACGTCTTGACTGTGCTCATCCTTGCTCCCGGGTCATCCCCCCCCCCCCTCCCCCTGGCGCGCACGGGGTGCGGGTGCGGGCAGCGGCCTTCTCAGAGGGGGGAGGCCATCTGACGAGGGCACGGCGGAGTAGATCTCTCAGAGGCCCACCCTCTGAGAGATCCGCTCCTGGGTTCCCAGGGTCCCCGGGGGCGGCCCTCCTCGTCCCCCAACCAGCCGAAGACAGCAAATGTGCGACCACGCGATGAGACAACAGCTCGGCCAGGGACGACTCAACAATGTTCATTTATCGTCTGGGTCGCTGGCTGCGGCCTGGCAGCCTCAATGGCGACGACGACGACAGACTCGAAATATCTTTCTCATCGTCCACTTCCCAAGCAAGCGCAGCGAGTCTAAAGTGAGCCTGGTAGGTCACATTGCACCCAATTCCATGTCGAAGGAATACGATATGGGGTGTGGATGGGTAAGATAGGAGAAGATCGATGTATCGGTCTTTCCAGCACATAGCGAATACCACGTCAGGTATCCGGGCAAATAGGGCGCGCGTGCCTTGAGCCAAAGGCAACGGCGCGCGAGCGATTATATATAACATCTCCCAAAGAGCTGCCCTTAAAGTCGGGAGGGGAGGAGACGGAGAGTATAGCCGCGCAGCCGTTAGGCTCTACAAAGGCCGCGCGCACGACTGTTTGCAAGAAGTACAGTGCGCACAGTCTGGCCTAACACCAGACTGTAAGGCGAGTTTCCTCGCAAGGCATTTCACGCAAATGCGAGATAGCCCCCTCGGACGTCGAAGGGCTATCGGCTCGGCTAGAGGTGAGCCAAACGGGCTACACCTCACCGAGCAAACGGATATCATGGCAAAGAGCCTGAACCAAGCTGAACAGGCTCGTCGCCAAGCGTGAAATGGTAGGCTCGTTTCCGAGCACCTAGAAGGGCGCCTCTGTATTAGGCGCCCATGCTGGCAAACTGGACCGCGGGGGCAACAAGGACATACTAAAACTGATTAGACTTAAGCTTGTTTCTGTCCTCGGGACCCCGAAAGGGAACAAACTGCTTCACGTCATACTTAAATGACTGAGTGCCTGACATCACTTCCAAAAGCAGCTCCCGATCGATGCTCCCCTTTGTATGCCCATCTGCGGTCATATCTCTAGTATCACACCACTGCACATTATGCACTATACCTATATCCATGAGCTCACGTATCCAGCTGATATGTCCAAGCAAGGTCCGTTCTGTCGGTATATTAAGATCCTTGCTGGATAGCGATGTATAAACCGACTCAGCGTCTATGGTAAGAGATACTTTAATGGCTAGGCCCCCAACTTCACGCATATCTCGTAGTTGTCGTGGAGCCAGAGCCCCTGCCTTGAGCTCGTGGAGAGTGATGAGCGTAGGGTAACACTCATCAAGGTTATGTGCAGCTGCGAGTGCCTCCGCGGCATAACTGGACCTCACCTGCAGTCGGTGTGATTTGCATAGTCCGTCACAGGGGTGAACGACGGATTTGCCTTGAGGCGAGTTTCCTCGCCGTAGTACGTTGGCCCCGCGTATGCCATAGCCCTTGGTCTCATCGTCCTCCTCCCCGGTGAGCTTCCGATACCCCGAATCACTGTGTATGTCAACTTCATTCGTCGGCTTCATCCGAGGGAAGGTGATGCGTTTCGGGCTGCTGATCAGCTTTCGCGTCACAGCATTCAGTCGTCTGACTTGTAGGTTGGTGGGCTTTTGGATTCTGGAGAGAGACCACGTATGCCCTGAGCCAGACTTGAGTAAGAAGGGCATAGGCGAGGGCTCCTCGCAAGCTGACGAACATGTCGGTGATGAGTTTGGTGGCTTTGGACTCGGCCGCCGCTCCTGTAAGTTCTGGGTGTGTGATAGGACGTAGTTGTTTGATATACTCGTCCTGATCCATGATCACATCCCCTTGGTCATTCTTAGTGTAGCGAACGGCGCAGTTCGTACATGAGTGTTTGTTAAGCTTGCATTTGCCAAACACCTTTTCGACACGTTGTACATAGTCGTCTATATTTTTCTCTAGGCCTGTCATATCAATGTCATCGACATGTTTTGCCGTTAACAAATCTTGGCTGAATTCAAATTCAGGATCATGACTTGTCGGAGTAAGGCCTATAGCTCGTGTGGTTGTACGAAGCTTGAGAGAGAACGCTCTTGGGGCGTCCTTTGTACCCGTTCCTGGCTTGAGGCACCTGAGGCAGTGTCGGCTTTCGTCATAGGATGAAAAGCCGGACAGTGTACGAAATACCTGGGCACTTCCCGGTGGAAGAGTGAAGCAAACCATGCGAGTTTCCTCGCCGGTGGCATGGGCAAGTTCCTCTTGGATTCCAACGTGGGTCTGTTAGTATAGAGAGGGTCATGACACAAACGTTGCAACACATATTCTGCGTATCTGTGCATCTGCGGTCTGGCAAATCGGGGCGGTATCATCGCGACGCCAAGGGGCGTCGCGGACTCGAGCCTTTGGCCTTGAAGCACGAAGCGCACGATTACCCATATCATGAAGTTCTGCAACAAGTCACTGTGTTCTGGGGGCGCACGGACACGCAAAACACTGTTCAGCTAATCGTTAGCTGGCGCCCGCCTCGAACTCATGCCCCACCCCCCGCCTCTTCCAAATATCCTTTCGCTGTGGCCCCCCCCTCCTCATGCCCCTCCGATCGCCC